AGAGACACAAGTTAAAGTGCTCAGGAAATGGTTACTTTTTAATCACTCCTTGCTACTACATAGCTAATTTTTGTTGCATTTTCTTTTTAATGTCTGCCTCCTATTTGACTGTAAACCCTGAGGGCCGGGACCGTATCTTCAAGGCACTCTTCCCAAGTACCACAGCAAAGGCTGACAAACATGTCTCGCTGAACAGACAAGGATACCTAATTTGTGGAGGTCGGAAAACTACGGGTGTTATTTTTATCTTTCCTCTATTTGACATTTCATTAATGCTATTCAAATATCATATATGTTTTCAATATTAAATGTTTATTTCAACATGTAGCATTTGTTTGGGAAGTGGTAACAAAAGCACATTAACAAGTCTTTTACAATTATCAAATACTAAAACTTTCCCAGCAGCCCCTCTTATGGTGAAAGAGAAATGAGAAAGGAAAAGTGGCCCTATCTTCTAGTACTTGAGACACAGAAAAAAGGCCTCCATCACAGCACTGGTTCTCAACAGTGTTCCTAGATGACTGGCGGTCTCCGAGGGTGCCTTGATGTTCCACTGACTGATCAAAAGTCAGAACACACTTGTGTCTAGGTGACCTGTCTACTCAAGACAAAAACAAGCAAAAAAAGACCTGCTCCCTGACTTAAATGCCATAAAGAAAAAAGTCACACAGAGCAACCTAGCAAATGTGGAAGCATAACTCCCAATTCCTTACAGATCTGGAGATAAGCCTTCATCATCGGATACTAACTTCCCTTTACACCAGATTGAAGACTAGGAGGCAACCTTCCAGAAAAGAAAGATATGTGGCAAAGAATGTCAAGAACTTCCCTCATAGTATGTCCAATACTTGATTCTTCTCTTTTCTTCTGTTTTCTCACCCCACCTAAGAAGCCCTGGCAACATTATCACCACCATTCCCCTCAAGTCACACTCGGCCAGTGGTTCTCAGCAGAAGGTCAGGCCCAGTGAGAAGACACTAGTACAGGAAGAGGATGAAAAAGCTTTTCCAGAACCACCTCACTAAGAAAACAACTTAAAAAGAACAGTCAAGCAGACAGTCCTTGCTTTACACAGTAACAACATGCATGAACTTCAATTCCCACAAGTAACACAAGTCATCCAACACCATGGTTCAAATTACAGTTAACACAGCAACATTTTCCAAAATAGATAATCAAAAGAGGGAACTAGCCAACAAAGATGAAAGTGCAGCAAATAAATGAAAAGTGCTAACACTGAAAGTGAAAGTCAAATCCAATGTAAAGTTACAAAAGACATAGCCAGCCGTGGGAATAGGGACACTGCCGTCCAAGAGAGATTCTAGATATGCGTTAGAGGAAATTTGTGAAGGCCAACTTACCAACATTAGTGAGGCAAGTGGCTATGACCAAAAGGATGAAGATGTCCCAGAGGAAGGGACGCCAGCAAAAAGTCTTCCCATTAAAGGAACTCTTGGAGATATTGCATAAGGTTGAAAGCACACAGGATAAAATGCTGGAAGTTGATCCAACCTTAGAAAGCAGTATGACACTTTGCCAAGGCATAAAAAAGATGTTTGTTCTGTATTGTAAGTTATCTGACTAGAAGACCAGCACTGGTCAAATTACTTTTGACACGTTTTCTCACAAAGAAATAAATTCTTAGTTTCTAATGTTTTAAATTACAACGTTCTCAATATTAGCTTTACTATTTTTTTCACTTCCCTATACATTTTCAATCAACAGTAAGAGTCTGTCATTTAATGCTGACAAGAATTTTTAGGTCATTGAAGAATCATACGCTTCCTCATCAGTTATTCTGACCATTCTGCATGGTTTCCGCTTGCACGTTTTGACAACCCAGGCTACCACGCAAAGGACCGTCTGTACTCTACACACTTGCCAAGGTTTTCCCTGTAACCTAGGACTGGTTAAAAGTAACTACAGCAGGATGTTTTGGGTTTCATCCAAGTAACAAGCCAGATAAATTCATGAACTACCAGGACAATGAAATAGTTAAGTACTGAAGGGGAGAGAAGAGTCAGGCAGGAAGGAAGAGAGATATAATACAAGGTGTGTGGTATTTTTAAAAATATAAAGTACTTTATATTAAAAAAACTAGAAGACAAAAAGTAATGCTATCAAAATTATTTTGTGTTATCTTGGGGAATTGCAATAGTTCTTTTTTAATGAACGGAATAGTATTTTTATAATTTTAATTACACATGAACAGATGTACCAATGTGCGGTGTTTTATTTTTTTTCTCTTTTATAAGTATTTTCCATGTTCTAGCACATACTCCCCACAAGCACTGTTGTTAATGGCCCCTAAACAGTTGATGAAATGCATCTTTTAACGTTCAACCTAACCATTCCCGTGTTTCATGTTTAAGTGGCTTTCCATTATCTTCACTGAGTTAAATGTTATGAACAACTTTAAGTTACTAATACTTAGTTCCAAACTGCTTTCCTAAAAGTATGCACCAGTCACTATACTCTGAGGTTTTCTCTTCTGAAAAGCCTACTCACTCCAAATGAACACTAACATCCCAGAGGCTCTCCCGGTATTCAACTCTACAACCCTCCCATCCTCCTCCTGAAGCTTTAGGAAGTATTTAAATGTCTGCTACATGCCAGGCTCTGGACTGCATATCTGACATTACCTCATTTAATACTCAGAATGTGAATTTCAAGGCCAGCAATCATTAAGACCTACCTTTCATTCATTCATTCATTCATTCACTCAATAAGTAAAGCCGAGTACATATAAAATGCCAGGCACTGGTAAAACAGTAGTAAGCAAAACAAAACTCCCCCAGGAGCGCTCACCCTCCCTCAAAGACGCTCCAAAGCTGGAGAAAAAAAAAAAAAAAAAACAACAAAAACAAAACCGCCACTCCATTGCTGAACTACTTTCATAATAAAACTTTCTAATGGCTTCCCTTATGCTTCAAATAAAATCCAAATCCTTTCCATGGCCCACAAAGACTCACTTCAGCTGACTTTCTCTACCTCTCTAATATACCCCCGCCAACACTACCCTTACCCACTAGGCCCCAGCCACCACTTTAACATCCTCAATTCTTTCCACCTGAGGGTTTTCCTTCATGCTGCTCTACAAAATGTCTTGAGCTTTCTTATCTTTTATGTCTTAGTTTAATGTCACCTCCTCAGGGGCTTTCTTGGCTACTCCATCTCAGGGAGGTTCTCTAATATTATTCTATCTCTATCCCACTGCAGTTCATTTCTTTTTTTTAATAATATTTTTAAAGATTTATTTATTTGAGAGAGAGAGAACACAAGTGGGGGGAGTGGGAGAAAGAGAGGAACAGACAGGGCGCCCATCCCAGGACTCCGAGATCATGACATGAGCCGAACTCAGATGCTTAACCAACTGAGCCACCCAAGCGCCCCTCAGTTCATTTCTTAAATAGTACTTACGAGTTTGGTTTGTTCACCACCATACCTCCAAGGGCTATCGGAGTGCTCAGTGGACAAAATACATGGCAGATAAACTGTGTGCTTAATAAATGAAATCATTCTTCTTTAGCTTGAATGAAATCTAACTTCCTCAAAACTTCTACTTATTGATCCTAATTTTATCTTGTGTAACTATAATGAAAAAAAGTATATTTTTCAGTATTTCTATCATACTTTAATAAATTTTAAAACTACTGTTCATTTGTTAACTCTGGCACTGACCTGTAGCAACAGCTATGGCTGCTGACTTCAGAAACAGTATCAAGGAGTGTTTATGGGAATGGAATCCCACAGTACACCAACTGGATTGGAATCTGAGCTCCAACACCTACACACATGAAATAGATCTCACCTGTGTGACTTTGGAGACGTTACCTAATCTCTCTGTACCTAATTTCCTCATTTGGAAAACCAGGATGGGACTTAGTTGTCAGAATTGATGTACATGAAGAGCTTATCCCAGTTCCTGGCAGGGTAATGTTAATTGTCAAAACTACCACTGTCACACTAGCCACAGAGGAAAACTTCAAAATGGTAACGTATTTCTTTGGATCTTTAAAACCCAGTTTACACAAGTGTCAGCAAACCTAAATTTAAAACCACCATCCACAAGTGTGGCTAAGGCACCCCCCTGCACATCTTTCCGTAACACCCTGAAACTAGCCCTCATGCCATTTATCCTAACAGTCATTTTACTATTCTATCTCCACCACCTGACCCATGTGAGCAGGTCTAGCTTGTTCACCATATTATCTCCAACACCTGCAACAACAAACCTTTGATAATTAAATGAAGAAATTCCACCAAGCCTCCATTACTTCAGTGGGAGCCTTTTTTTTTTAAGGCTGCCTTTTTTTTTTTTTTTAATACTGTTTCTGCCTACTCTTCCACAATGACCAATCTGTATTCACTGCTGGACCTGCCATAAAAGGCTTCAAAATATTACAGAAATTTTTGTTCTTAGGTTTTGTTTTTGATGTGAAAACATGTTGATTCTTGTAGTTTTCTAAGAAATTAAACACTACCATCTTACTGGCTCCATAACTACTTTTCTTATCACTATACCCACAGCCTACAAGAACGCTTGAAATAAGTAGATTTATTATATATTGAATGAAAGATAGGTCATTTTCCGAGAGTGAAAAAAGATAAAGCTAAATGAAAACCACAGTCCTGGACAGAGAGGAGTCTGTGCGATGTAAACGTTTTTTGTTTTGTTACATCGATTTAATTTCCCAGTTCTCCAGAGTGTGGTTACAGGATATAATTGAAGCTCTTCTTTTTTTTCCTTTAGGTAAACCATCCGGCGGAAGACTGTCGAGCACCCACCCCCACCCCCGTCTCCTTCTGTTTTCCGGGCAGCAATGACACAACCTTGACCCAAAAACCCCGCGCTCCCTCCCAGACCTGCCTGGTGACCAGTGACCCCAGGACGGTTCAACGCGCAAAACCGGAAGAACGTGCTAGGGCACAGAAGCCACTATGGGCTCCAGTGCGAGACTCCAGCGCCCCGAGCGCCCACCCTACCGCCCAGCACTCACCACGAGCGAAGCCGTGAACCCAGGCCGGTCCATGGCCCCGCAGACACCTCCCAGGCTATCAGACGAGGCTCTCATTCACTAGGCGCCGCCATCTTGGAGGCGGACCAGTAGTGCGGCACTTCCGCGGCCACGTGAGATCGAACCACAACAACTACACGTGCAACCCCGGAAGCCTTGCCGAAGGAGCGCGGGGAAGGAGGCGAGGAGGAGTCTGGGGAGGGATGTGGTCGAGCCAAATCTCGCGACTCTTCTCTGTCTCTCCTGTCGCCCCCTTGTGATTCGCCTAGACGAAAGAACTCTCGCGAGTAAATGAGCCTTGGCGGGATCCTGGAAGAGAGCCCCTAGCGGAAGGCTGGCTGAAGCTAAAGCGTAGATCCCAAAGAGGCGTGGCTTAGTGGAGGGCGGGCCCTGGAGGGGCAGGACGGATTTCGGGGGGAGGCTTGTGGTTTCCAGTTACTTCTTTTTGGTTTCCCTCTTGGTTTTAGGTGTACAAACTTTGTCTGAATCTCTGTAGAACAGACTCAACATCAGAAGATTATTAAATAGGGGCGCCTGGGTGGATTAGTCGGTTAAGCATCTACCTTCGGCTCAGGTCAGGATCCCTGGGTCCTGGGATTGAGCCCCGCCTTCGTCTCCCTGCCCAGCGGAAAGCCTGCTTCTCCGTCTCCCTCTGCAGCTCCCCCTGCTTGTGCTTTCTCTGTGAAATACATAAAATCTTAAAAAAAAAAAAAAAAAAAATTATTAAATAATGATATAGTAAAAGACTTTAAAAGTTTCCTGACTCCAGCTAAAAATTAGCATCCTCTATTTCTTACTAGCAGTTATTGCACTTAATATTATTTACTTTTTAAATTATTTATTTGCTTATCTTGTTCGCTGCGGTACCAGTGCGCATATCTGGAAGACCAATTTATTAAGTACTTAGTAAAAGTTTCTTGGAGTGGACCTGCCTTTACATTTCTTAAATAAAGTTCTGTGTTTTCTTTATTCTCATCTAGATGTGTCATCTAGAAATGATTAACAAGCATACCTTTAAGCGTTTCAGATTCTGAGCTTCACTAGGTGAAGTTTGGGTACTACTTTGGGCATAACTTCTCCAAGATTGAGTTTCCTCCCTGAAGTGGGGATAATGATAGTAACTTCTTCATTTGGTACTATTACAGATTCCATGAGGTAATGCATACACATTCTCAACTTAGTTCCTGGTTCATAGGAAGTGCTCTCTAAAGATAATGGTAATGTCACCTTCCTGCTTTAAATTACTCCCTTTTGCTGCACACATGATTTGACAGAGAGAGAGACAGCGAGAGAGGGAACACAAGCAGGGGGAGTGAGAGAGGGAGAAGCAGGCTTCCCACGGAGCAGGGAGCCTGATGTGGGGCTCCATCCCAGGACTCTGGGATCATGACCTGAGCTGAAGGCAGATGCTTAACGACTGAGCCACCCAGGCGCCCTGATAGTCCAGGTCCTTACACACTTCCCACATGGTGTCTTCTGTCACACTTCCCACTGGCTAGGCTACTCAAAGACAGACTATACACTTCCAAGCCTCCACATTTTACCCATGTTGTTCCCTCTACCAACAACACCTTTCCCTACGCTGCCTGCAGAACATTGGTACTCTCCTGTTTGCTACATGTCACGATCCATAGGCCATCTCAAAATATGCTGGTTCACGTCCCCCAGGCCAGCAGGAGAACCTCTTACACTGTTGTTTGTCTCTTTCAAGGGCTTATATGACTAAGTCAGGCCCCCCAGGATAATCTCCCTTTTGATTAACTCAATGGTTAGGGACCTTAATTACATCTGCAAAATCTTTGCTGTATAATGCAACATAATCATGGAAGTTATATTTCATCATGCTAACAGGTTCTACTCACACTCAAGGGAAGTAATTGTACAAAACATATGAATTACAGGGCAGGAATCTTGAGAGCCATCTTAGAATTATGCCAACCATATTTACCCATAAGCCCTTGCCAGCAGGTTCCTCAAAGTCCATCAAGGTTCTAGCAGTAGGCTTGCACTAATGTTTTCTTCAAAGCCCTTCCCTTTATCTACTGCCTGGTGACAAAGCCACTCCTATGGCTTAAATGTTTGTTACAGTAGCACCTCATTTTCAAGTCTCAAAATCTGTACTGGTTACCTATTGCTGGGCAATAAACTTAGAACAACAATCAACTTTTATTACCTCACACAGTTTCTGTAGGACAGGAATCCAGGAATGGCTCAGCGGAGTGGTTCAGTCTCAGAGTGTCTCTCATGAGTGTGCCGTCAGGTTATCAGCAAGAAGACTTGACTGGGACTGGAGGATCCACTTACAAAATGGCTCACTCCATGACTCGCAAATTAGCACTATTGGCACATGGCCTCAGCTCCTTGTCACACAGACTTCTCCATAGGGTTGCTTGAGTGTCCTCATGATATGACAGCTGGTTTTCCCCAGAGTGAGTGGTCTCAGAGAGAACAACACAGAAACTATAATGTTTTCTACGACCAAGGCTCAGAAGTCACTCAGTTGTTATTCCTGCAATAGGTCATTTGTTATACAGGCCATCCCTACTTTTTATGGGATTGGACTAAACAATGGCATGAATACCAGGAGGTCAGAATCACTGGGTGTCACCATGGAGACTGGATAGTGCATCAGAGATATGCAAGTGAAAACTGTGATAAGATACGACACACCCCCTAGAGCAGCAACGATAAAAAAGACCCAAAAGGCCAAGTGTTGTTGGCAAGGATGAAGAGCACCTAGAACTGGTACAACCACTACAGAAACCAGTGCCCCTCTTAATTTTTATATATATGTTTTTAATCAGGCTTTAATTCACTTTATTTTTCTTGTGTAAAACTATGTGGTGGCCCTAGTGGGAGCCAGGGTCCGCTGCACAGAGACTCTGGCAGGGGTCTTTACAAGATGGTCAGTGAATTCCTGATAGGGAGACTTGGTGAACACAGTCTCTTTCCAGAGGTCAGGGGTGAGACATTTATAGGTCTTGGAAAATGCATCAAAAGTGGCCTTGGCAAAGTTGCCCAGAGTGGCAGTGGAGGCCCTGGCCGAGGTGTAGAGTTGTCAACCCCGGCCATCGTCAGTAGCTTCTTGAGACAATGTCAGTGCCTCTGGGTGGCAGGGATGAACCATAGCAGCCAGCCACTTCACATGGAACAGCATGGGCATACCGATCTTGTTCCCAAAGGAGCCTCTCCACACGAGGACAATGGAAGAGTTGGCCAGGATGATGGCCCCACGGATGGCAGGAGCTACCTCCTTTGAGCACGGAACACCCAGACCGATGTGTCCACTGTAGTCTCTGATGGCAAGAAATGCCTGTGAAGAGCCTGAGATGGTTGGGGGCCCACTGGCTTGCAAAGCCTCAGCAACCACAACCCAGGGCCTGGTGCATCTCTCAAGGAAAGAGTGGCCACTGTAAGGCCAATCTGAAGTCCTCTGGAGCACCTTTCTCTCTATTCCCATTTTTTAATTGCTTTCTTAAAATGTTTCTGCCTATAATTGAATCCTCCCTAAATTCTCCCTGTCCCCCACCCCCAAGTTTTCCAATACACCTCTTAGGTATTTACCCAAGAGAAATGAAAACATGTGTCCATTATTGTTCACAGCAGTTTTATCCATAAGAGGCAGAAACTGGAAACAACCCAAATGTCCATCAACTAGTGAGTGGATAAACATATTGGGGTACATCCATACAATGGAATATTACTCATCAATAAAAAGAAATGAATTACTGACACATGCAAAAATGTGGATTAATCTCAAAGTTATGCTTTTAAAAAAGTCAGATAAAAACAAGTTCATACTTTGTAATTCCACTTATATGAAATTCTAGTAAAGACAAAATTGTAGTGACAAAACAGACCAGTGGTTTCCAGGCACTGGGGTGAAGGCAAGGGACTGATTAAAAAGGGGGCACAAAACAACACTTTGTGGGGATAGAGATGTTCTGTATCATTATTGTGGTGGCCACTGGTTAGGTCTATACATTTACAAAAATGCATCGAATTGTACACTTTAAATGGATGCACTTTACTGTATGTAAGTTATACCTCAATAACTGATTAAAATATCATATTTGTCTCACAGGATGAGGATGACTGAATATTATATTCATGGAAAGTACACAGTCCAGTGCTGGCATGTAGAAAATATTAAATTTATTCAGTATTTTCCTATTAATGTTATAGATTCTGAATGCTATAAATGATTGATAAATTATTGAGGTGCACAAGCACTTGGTGATACATACTACTATACCTTCCTCAGAGAAAACAAATGTTATTTCCAGTCTCTAATGACCTTGAAAGTTTTAGATAAAACTCTTCCCCTAAAATTAAGGGGAAACTCTTTTCCTCTTCAATGTAATGACTGTTTTTAACTATGTAAGAAGAAATTATGTTGATACCATTTTCTGGTAACTTGGAAGGCAATACAATTCATTGGATGCCTTCCAGTATCAAGAAGAAATGTTATATTCTCTCCTTTTTTACAAAGGTAAAAGCTTCATCAACTATTTCCACTAGATGCCCTTTAAGAAACATAGATCTTACAACATAACCTGGGACCTCCTTTTCAAGAAATGCTAGTACAAGGGCACCTGGGTGGCTCAGTCGTTAAGCATCTGCCTTCGGCCCAGATCATGATCCTGGGGTCCTGGGATCGAGTTCCGCATTGGACTCCCTGCTCGGCGGGAAGCCTGCTTCTCCCTCTCCCACTCCGCCTGCTTGGGTTCCCTGTCTCGCTGTGTCTCTCTCTGTCAAATAAATAAATAAAATCTTAAAAAAAAAAGAAGAATCTTTAATGATACAGAAAGATGATAAACATAAAAATAATTGCACAAGAACATAGGCATAGGCTGGTTTTTCTCTTTACATCTCAGCAGATCTATTCTCTGCTTTCTCTGCCTTGTTCTCTGTCCTAGGGAGCTGACCCCTAGGAACTGCCCTCTGGTTTTCAGTTGGGCTTGGCCAGTAACAGTCATGGGCAAATCTGAGAATGGCAGAAGAAAGAGGCCAGAGTATTTCTTCCTTGCTCCCTACCTGCTTTCACCCAATTCTGTCAGATGGTGTGTCCCTTGACAAGTGTGTTCCTATAAGACAGCTTCCCCTCTGTGGCTCCCCTTTTTGGCCTCTTGTAACACCTTTTCCTTCCCTTCCTTCTTCAGGGCTATGGATGATAATGGCTTTTCATTGTTGTAAGCCCCGGCTGCCTCTTTCATACCTAATTGATTTTCTTAACACTGCACATAGCTCTCCTCAAAAATCCCAGTTGAGTGCCCTCTATTTGCTAATAAAACTGATTGACAAAAGACAATATAATCCAATTTTTGTAAACATACACATTAGTTATCTATTGCTACATAACAAACTACGCCAATACTTGGCAGCTTAAAAAAACAAACATTTACTCTCTCAGAGTTTCTTTAGGTCCGATATCTGGATATTGCCTAGCAACACATAGGCTAGTTCAAAGTCTCTCATGAGACTGCATTCATGCTGCCAGCCAGGGCTGCCAGTCCCATCTGATGGCTCAAGTGGGGGAGGATCCACTTCCAAGCTCACTCCCATGGGTGTTGGCAGGACCCATTTCCTTGCAGGATGTTGGACTGAAGGGCTCCAGTCTTCCCTATCTATTGCCTGGAGGCCTTCCTTAGTTCCTTGCCGCAGTGGCCTTTCCACATGGGAGCTTGCAACATGGTCCCTGGCTTTCATCAGAGGGAGCAAGCAAGAAGGAATGAAAGATAACACCCAGAATGGAAGCCACAAACTTGGTAATCTAATATCTGAGGTGACATCCCATCAACTTTGCCAGGCCACACCCAGGGAGAGGGGATTACACAAGGAAATAGATATAGGCAGTAGGAATCATTAGGGGGAGATCTTAGAGGCAAAACATAATTTGCAAATGCACACCAAAAACATCTGTATGATGACTGGTTATCTTTCGGTACATTAACAATGATCTGTTTTTTCTTTGCATTACTGGCAATTTCTAATGAATAACTACTACTGCTGTGAATACTATCATCATATGAATCTTTTGTTGCTAACCTATATCTAGCTGACAGCCACTCACATGACATTGCTTAATTTTTTACCTTTTTCCATGAACAAGTTGATATAAACCTGCCTAGACTTTAAGAAGAGTGAATCAATTATCTGCCATCATTGGATTCCGCTCAATATTTGACCCAATATGAAGCTCTGTCTAGGTTTCCAAGACATGTATAAAATAATCAGGATGAAATGTGTTCAGCTAATTTTTGCATTCTCTGACAACGATCTCCACCCGACTGGACACGGAAATTATCTTAAAACCCTATGCCTTGTGCATTTGCTGCCCACCAGTTTGGCAAGCCTGTCACACTGAAATAGAACACAGAAGTGCCCTTGCTGTAATTGCTCCCCTCTGTTGAAGTGGCAACAAATAATTATAGGTCACCCTTGTGACAGAGATGAGAACAGCAAATGATTTTTCTCAGCCACTCACTATTGTTATAGTCAAGGGCAAATGGAGCTATTTTTTTCTTTGCAGTATAGGAAATAATGGGAAAACATAAATGAGGTTCACGATCTTCCCATTATAGGAAAATTAAAGAAAAATGTTCACCATTAAACCACAGTTCCAACTAAGCACGACAACAACTTTTATTATTCCTCAAATTAATTCCATCAACAAGTACTAAATAAGCATCTATTGTGTCCCATAATGTCCTTTTTTTCCCATATAAATATCTTACCCTACCAACTTCATTTTTTTTTTAAGATTTTTTATTTATTTATTTGATAGAGAGAGGCACAGCTAGAGAGGAAACACAAGCAGGGGGAGGGGGAGAGGGAGAAGCAGGCTTCCCACCAAGCAGGGAACCCGATGCGGGGCTCCATCCCAGGACCCTGGGATCATGACCTGAGCCGAAGGCAGACGTTTAATGACTGAGCCACCCAGGCGCCGCCCAACTTCGTTTTTTTGTCATGGTTCCACAATTCTTACAATCTGCTGGTTAAGAAGTCTGCCTCTTATTCAATTTCTTATTTATCTTTGATGCAAACCATTACCTAATCCTTCAGAGACACCCCCCTCTCCTCTCCCTTCTCCCTGCAAACACCTTCAAAAATTATATCTTGGCTCATTAACAGCTGAACCAGTCAGAAAAACCTTCTCTTGACTCCACACCTCGCCTTTCCAGTTCCCCTTGATAACTCCACATGAGTAAAAGAAATTGTGGTCACTTTCTATCAGGCCCTATGAGATGACTGACCGTTTCCCTATTTACTTTCCCACTTAATCCAAACTGTCACCTGTAACTTAGGCATTATAATTGAGCCTGGACTCCTAGTTTCTTAAAGGAAAACAGCAAAACTCAAAAGGAATTCATTTCCACCTGGGAAAAGAGTTTGGCACTTTCTTACAAAGCTAAACACAGTCTTAATATAAGATCTGCTAATTGTACTCCTTGATATTTTCTGAAATTAGTTGAAAACATGTGTCCACACAAAAATCTGCACATGAATGTTTATAGCAGGTTTATTCACAAGTGCCAAAACTTGGAAGCAACCAAGATGTCCTTCAGTAGGTGAATGGATAAAGAAACCGTGGTACATCCATATTATTCAGCACTAAAAAGAAACGAGCTACCAAGCCATGAAAAGACATGGAGGAAGCTTGAATGCCTATTACTAAGTGAATGAAGCCAATCTGAAAAGGCTCTATACTGTATGATTCTAACCACATGACATTCTGCAAAAGGCAAAACTATGAAGACGATAAAAAAGATCAGTAGTTGCCAGAGGTTAGGGGGAGGGAGGAATGAATAGACTGAGCACAGAGGATTTTTAGGGCAGTGAAATAAATTATTATGATAATGATGGATACATGTCTTAATACGTTTGTTCAAACCCATGGAATGTACAATGCCAAGAGGGATTATCCAATGTAAACTATGGATTTGGGATAATCGTGATGTTTCAGTAAAGGTTTAACAATTTGAACAATTACACCACTCTGCTGGGGATATTGGATAGACTGAGGAGGGAGGCAGGGAGTATACGGGAACTCTGTAATTTTTGCTCAATTTTGCTGTGAATGTAAAACTGCTTTTTAAAAAAGTCTACTATAATAAAAAAAAAAAAGGAAGTCATTATACTCTTCCTTGAGATTCCCAATGATAATAACCTTTAGTCAAATTCTATCTTTCCTATATCCAGGGAAAGAGACAGAGAGGGAAGGAAAGAAGAGAAGAGAAGGGGCAGAGAAAGGAAAAGAGGAAAAGTGAGATAATGTAAGGAAAAAAAAAAGATTGTGTGGATATTAAGACACTCTCCAACCCAAATGTCTGTTGACAGATGAACAGATAAACAAAATGTGGTATAAACATACAATGGAATACTATACAGCCTTAAAAAGGAAGGAAATTCTGACACATGGTACAGCACAGATGAACCTTGAAGACATTATGTTAAGCGAAATAAGCCAGTCACAGCAGGACAAA